TGAACTGCTGCTGTGAAGACATGGTGGCTACCGTAGACATTTAGCCTGGCTACCTGTTTAATAGGTTAGAGACTCAGAGGCCTACACCTATAATGCAAACCGCTGGGAATACTTTAGTCGCTAAAACCCCATAAGCCCTATCATAACCTATATAGTTCTATAAAGCTGCACACCAGTCTTGCAGCACGACTAAGTTCACTGCTGCGAGGCCGTCAAAATGTACATCGCATGCAATTGAGATCAGCTAACCCGACCTGCATATCGATGCAGCTCAAGTGCACCCAAGACCCCAACTCACATGAACACGAACACCGGCTCGGGAGCGAGTCGATCTAGGCAGCAGCATCGTCTCCTTGGCAGGACAAAGTGCGTTTGGCCGAAAGGTTTCATCGTGGCAGGACCCTGGCAGTCTGATTGAGCCTATATAGGGTTTAGGGTTTTAAGGGTTTAGGGGTTTATCGGTTTATATACGGGTATAGGGGTTTAGGGCTTATATAAGGGCTTTAAAGGGAGCCATGCTAATTGCCATGAAGAGTCGGTGCTCTGCACAAAACTTGACTGCCTGCTTCACCGCGATCTTCTGATACTTCTTGGGGTCGAGTCCCTTTTGAGACAGCAGCGGAAGTGTATCAGTCCAGAAGAGAGCCTTCAGGGCCACTCATATATATTACTTGCAGCTGCTAATGATATTTGAATTCCATTGCATGGGTTCTTTTTGTTTAGTTTTGTGGTTTGTAGGGATTAATTGAGCCAATATATTGTGTACTTACATGAAGCCGGCCGGCGATGTATCATCTATCAAAGTAGCAGCACCTCGTACTTGCTCGGGTACGAAAACTTCGGGGCCACGTAGTCAATGAAAGTGTTGCAGATCACATCGAACCGAAATCTCGCAGCCTCGCTATTCCCCGGTTTGCGTCCTGCGAAACTCTTGCGGCCCTCCTCGGCAGGCTGCACGTCCTGAGCTTTCTTCTGGTCCGCCTTGGCACGCTTCGCAGGGGGACTCTGCTCCTCAGGCTCGCTCTTCTTGGGCCTTCCGGGCCCTCTCTTACCCTTGTCCTTGGCCTGTGCCTTTGCCTTCCCCTTGGCCTTGGCCTTCGGGGCCGCTGAGCACTTGGCTTTTGCCTTGGCTTTGGCCTTTGGCCTGGCGCTCGGCTTTTTTTCGGCCTCAGCGGCCGGAGAGTACCGAACAGTTGCTGCGGCGCCCAAAGGACTGTCGGGCGCCTCGTCCTCCTCTGAAGCCTGGCTGTCGTCACTCTGGTTCTCGTCCTCGTCCTCGTCTTCGTCTGCCTCGTCTTTCTTTGTAGCCTTTTTGCCACGGCTGTCGCCTTTCTTTGTAGCTTTTTTGCCACGGCCTGGGCCATGACCGTTTTTGCCACGGCCACGTCCCCGACCCCGTCCCTGTGCTCGGCCACGGCCCCCCCGACCACTCTCCTCGTCCGCCTTTTTCTCCTTGTCGAACTTGCCACGCTGGTCGGTCCTCTTCACCATCTGTGCCTCCCACGCAAGGTAGCTAGCTAGCTACTTCTATTATAATGTTTCGCAACGGAACAATCGACTCTCAACAGGTTCCCAGCAGGCCTTGGGGTCAAATGTTTCCCATGTCGGCTCAGGATCGCAGGGCTTGGGCTCATCGGGTGTCTTTGCCTTGCTTTCCGCTGGCTCGTCTGTGTTGGTTTCCTGGCACTTTTCGGCTGGCTCGTCTGGCTTGGTTTCCTGGCACTTTTCGGCTGGCTCGTCTGGCTTGGTTTCCTGGCACTTTTCGGATGGCTCGTCTGGCTTGGTTTCCCTGAGCTTTTTGGCTGGCTCGTGTGGCTTGGTTCCCTTGCGCTTTTTGGCTGGCTCGTCTGGTTTGGTTTCCTTGCGCTCTTCGGCTGGCTCATCTGGCTCGGTTTCCTTAAGCTCGGGTGCTTGGGTTGATGTCGGTGGCTCTGGCTTGGCATGCTGTGGCATCGAAGCAACCTCAAAAGACTGAGCAGCAGCATCAGAATCGTACGGCTGTGTCTCCGCATCGTCGGGGACCGGCCCAGCACCTTAGACTAAAGGTCACGACTCCGAATGTATCCGCAAAAAGCCAAACCAAACTCTCATATAGCTACTCGTATATGTGTATATATATATATATATATACACATATCCAGGATACATGTGATATTATACATTTATATGTGCACTATCAATTCCTGATAATTGGTAACAACTTCGACCTTCTAAAACTAGCTATTCTGTTGGCAGGCATCTATATGCTCGATATCCGTAAATGGACACCCGAAACCCCTAGTTTGAGCCCTCATGAGTCAGAATGCCTAGAACCCTAACTTAAGTAATAAACATTCTATATAGCCATGCATGTTACTGGGAAGCTATGGAAGGAACCCTAAGTTTCAAAACATACAAGCAATCGTAAATAACCAAGCATTAGGACCCTTAAGCAAACCCATCCCCTGTAAATGGCGAGTCTATTGGCAGGCGATCAAGCCCCTTCCACGAACCATGCAAACAAAACCAGTAGACCCCCAGGCCCATTATTGATTTATAATATAGCTTTATGAAATTAAACCATAATCCCCTGAATCCCCACTTAAACTCAATCCTCGCTATTAATATCGACTAGCTACTGCTCGAAACGGTGGCTCCGTCCGGAGCCGCGGAGGCCTTCCTCTGCGCCAGCTGCTGCCTGTTGAGGGCTGATTGCATTCTTTTTCTTTCACTAGACTGGGAGCTTCGGATCATAAGGGATTTAATTTAGGAAAATATATCTCTAGAAGCCAACAGTGTACACAATCCCATACCCGATATATGGCCTGAGAAGGTCCAATCTCATCTGCACCACATATCTAATGCGCTGCCGCTTCGGGTCGATGTCCTCTTTGTCCCCTGCAAACACTTGCGGCTTCTTCCTGGCCAACTTTGCGCCTGCATCTGCTCGTGCTCCCTTGCTGTCCAAGGGCTCGGCTTGGGGCTTCTCTGCAGTTTGGGGTGCAGCTACCGGTGGGTCGACTCGGGGCTTCTCCACACGATCGGGTGCAGCTACCGGCGGCTCGACTTGGGGCTTCTCTGCAATGGCGGGTGCAGCTACCGGTGGGTCGACTTGGGGCTTCTTTGCAATGGCGGGTGCAGCTACCGGTGGGTCGACTTGGGGCTTCTTTGCAATGGCGGGTGTGGCGGGTGCAGCTACCGGTGGGTCGACTTGGGGCTTCTCTGCAATGGCGGGTGCAGCTACCGGTGGCTCGACTTGGGGCTTCTCTGCAATGGCGGGTGCCTCGACTTGGGGCTTCTCTGCACTGGTGGAAGCAGCTTCCGGTGGATCGATTTCATAGTCAGTCTCTGCAAACTCGTCATCCACCTGGGTGTCATCCAGACGGCCACGAAAGTCTTCATAGCCGTCACCAGTGATCCCGTCCTCGATGGCTGCAATCTCTCCGATGCCTCCTGCGTCACTGGGCCCATCTTCGAGGGCCAGCAATGCAGGAGCTGGTGCCGCCAATGCGGCATCATCTGCTTCCTCCCAGTAGAATCTTAGAATGTTGTAGAAGTCCTCGAGCGCACTGTCCTTGTATCATCCAGCTTCGTGGGGTTATGCTAGATATTATGTTAAATATACTATTATATGGGGCCCGGGATTATACATTATGAACTTCACAGAATAGATGCTCTGCTCTCCGCTCCACTGCGCAATCGCCTGATTCCATGCGAAAACAATTTTTTGATGCCCTCGGCATCGAGGTTGAGCAGGACGCCGTCGTCCTTCACATCCACCAATTTCCTGAAAATCTTCATCTCGCGCCGCATGAGCTGTATGGGGACGAAGCACGGAGCACGCTGCGTGGGTGCCCACCACTCCGCGACTATTTCCAGGATCTTGCAATTGAGTCCCATGGCCTTTACTGAGGGTATTCCAGTGGTCTGCAGGCTTGGCCATCGCGTGATGACCTCTTTGTCGCGACAACGCCGTCGCAGGGTCACTTCGCTTTCGAAAATTTGTGCCAAGCTCCCCTCCGGAGGCCAACGGTCCCTCGGAGCCCTCACCGACTCCCCCGAACTTTCTGCAAGGCTTTCGGCCGCTGACTCATCGATATCGCTCATTTAGATATCTATGATATCTAAAATCTAGAGAACACAAAATGTGTTCCGAAAAGAAGCTGGCAGCTCGAACCAACGTTCTGAAGAAGCAAACTAGGTTAAGCGAGCCACAAGAATGCACAACTTCAGCTGATCCTGCAAGTGTCTTTAAAGAAATCGCTCCCCCCGCAATCCGTAGACCCTAGAAGTCCCTTAATATTCCCAATGCACCTCCACCCAGAGTAGAACCAGGAAAATCAGCGCTCCAGCCCAACGTACCTGCCGCGAAGGACGTGCTCCGAAGCGCTGGCAGATGGTGACGCTTCGATCCCACGACATCACATAAGCCACGTGTTTAATTCCATAAATTACCGAAACCTCCTGAAACGGTTGCAGGGCGCACTGCTCGGCAGGAGAGAAGCATGCACGCATGGAGTCAAAGCAAGAATTACGAATTAGAAAGTGCCCGGAATGTGGTGTGTGAAGGTCGTGTGCTAGGTTTCTGCAGTCTGCACAGCACACTATCTATCGAGCTATCTATCTACCTATATCTATATCTAACCATATAGGCTGTCATGGGTTTAAGCCCCACTAGAAAGTCATCGATCCCTAAATAGGACATGTATCTGTGCATTCGAACCTTGATCGATGACCGAGCACTGCGCGAAAAGCTTTCGGAGCGCCTTGGCCTGCAGCGGTCGATCTTACATACGCCCAGAATCCATAGATCCCCCCCAAACCCTGAAATATGTAAAAAGGTTCACGACCTAAAATTTTAGGTCCTACCTTGCATAAACGCTTTTTCACGAAACAACCAAAATTTCAGGCCCCAAGGAAGGTCCAGGTAAAGCCTAAACCTTAAACCCTAAACACAAGATGACAAACCTGCAGGGAACGAACTGGGGCTAAGCAGCAGGACAGCTTTGACATCCTGACAGGCAGCTACATCTATACCTTTCGGGCTATGGGCGACTACGCCCACGAGGTGTGTACGGATGGGATAGAGTTGGGCTTGCTTGGTCACAGGGTGTATATGGTCCCGTGTTGCGTTTCGGTACACCACCCCTCCCCGATGGCATACACCCGAAATCCTCGTGGGGGTCGTCACTTTTGTCTCAAAAGTGCCAACAGTCACAGGGATGCGCCTCCCGAGACAGGGATCCTCGTGAGTGGTGTGACTTTTGAAGCTATGCAACTTCGTGACGTGTCCAAAGTCCAAAGTGGCGACCTTCACCTGGATGGGCCATGTTTTCCACCGCCACACCACAGGGAGAGGGGAAGGGGGTTAAACACTAAAGCTGAAACCAACAACCCACCGCCACACCACCACACCACACCACCACGATGAGAGAGGGGGGGTTAGATAACTCAAAACCCACCACCACACCACAGCGGGGACGAGGGGGGTTAAACAGGCCAAAAGCCACCAGCGGGGGGCCGGGGCGTGGGACAGCATGAGGCCACCCAGAGCCCCACAGCATCTATGCCGAGCCTGATGCCTGAAGCCCTACACCTCGAACGGAAGTTGTGATCGACCAGCCTGATGACCTAATCCTGACTGTTTCCACCAATTGCAGTGATGTTTGTGGCCACTTAGGTATTGTCGTTAACGTTCAAACTTTACTCATGGCAGTTACTTTGGAAGGTAAACTTGGAGGAAAGTCAAGGGTCAGAAGAGATCCTAGCTACTTTTGGCAAATGCAGTTCTATCATCTACACCCCTGACAGGCAAAGCTAACGGTTCTCAGTTCGTGCTTTTCGTGTAGGGTTGGAGTTTAGGATTTTCGATTTCTGTGTCTTGTGTAACTCGACAGCCTCAGATCCGTTTGGGGTATTGAGGGTCACATGGCAGACCAACAATAAATCTAAGCCCCAAACCCTGCAAAATTGTAGGTTAAAACCCCTTAATCAAAGCATAGAGCCAAACCCCAAACCCTACACCCTAACGTGGTAGTTTAGGGTTTAGGGTAAATCCTACCCTAAAACCCCTTCATGAAAGCATAGCATCCACAAACACGGTAGGATTTTCGAGCCCCAGGTAGGACGCCGAACTTCAGGGCCCGAGGCCCCACGTGCAGGCCGAAAGGACCCTATCCTTGTCAAGTCCCTGGCACATTCGGACATTCGGATTAGGGTTTAGGGGTTTAGG